GAACTATCGACTGGGCGAGGAAGCATCCATGGAATCACTTGTGAATTCCCCAGAACAAGCTGTAGTGATCATTTAATAAAAATGTCATTATATTTTTGCCGTCCATTATTCGTTTCTAGAGTGACATACAAATATCAAGTAATTTCCGAATTGCCACACATACTTTATTCAAGTCAAAACGAACCTAACAACTATTTTGGACCAGAGTAGTATTAACAACGGTAGTACTATTAATACGCAGTAGTAAAATAATACTACGTAGTACTCCGGGAGAGTAGTTCTATAATAGTAAGTACTTCTACTACTACTGTAGTATATAGGAGTACTCTATACTTCGAGGTATACTTCGACAACGAACAGTAGTAATACATTCGTTTCGAAGGTTTTAACGATGCTTGTTTGACCAATCCGAGGCTTGCACTTTTCATCCTGATCTTCTTCCATCTTAGCCTCACCAAACCAAACGTTCCAACTCGAACTACAACCCAAGATATACAATTGTATTCCACGAATACTAAGCAAAATCAAGGGCTCCATCCATTCGTCATTGTTGTATTTGCCCATGACTCGTCGCCTTCTTTCTGCCATGGTCGTGGCCACTAGCGCTGCTGTTGGGGCAGCAGACGGCGTCTCCTGTTCCAACTGGCTGTGCCTTATGGGCATCAACACTCCAGTTCGCGTCAACGCCGCTGGAAACATCGAATGTTTGAGCTCCAACCATCACGACTGTGCGTGGCAGTCCAATCACGAGGCATGTGACACCGTAAAGCAATCCAAACTACTAGCTGCTGCGACCGACGAAAGTCCCCTCGTCTGCGGGGCCCAGCATTTCCAAGAGTGGGGAAGCACGGGGTACGATTCGCCCCATCATTGGTGTGCCCAAGCCTACCGCACCCTCGTCCGCCCCCCTTCTCCCCCTCCCACCTCGTGGACGTGCGTTCCCAATATCCTCACTCCTCTTCGTGTCAACCCGACCTCCGGCGAAGTGGAATGCATGTCGTCCAATCACCACGACTGCCTTTGGCAATCCTCTGCTGAAAACTGCCAACTTTTAGTAGACACCAACGCCCCACCAGGTACCATCGACCCCCTCGAGTGCGGGGCGCACCACCAAGCTGAATGGGGAGTTCCCGGCTACGGTGACGCAACCCACTGGTGCGACATCGCGAAACCATTGCTCGCTTCGACCTACCGACCGTGGGAATGTGTGCCTGGTATCTTCACCCCTGTCCGGCGGACATCTACCGGGGCCATTCACTGCCTGTCGACCAACAGCAGAGACTGCAGCTGGCAAACGTCGGACGTTACGTGTAAAGCAGCGGTAGCGGCCCTTGGAGCTTCGATTGCGTGGGGCACCGTAAAGCCCTTGACATGCCCCCCCCAAGATCTCGTGACGCCCTACCACTGGTGCCAACAGGCCAAAACGTATTACGACGCCAAGAAAACGACGACTACTCCCTTCCTACTTTGGACATTAGCGCTAGCGTCGGTGGAATCGGTCGAGTGGCCCGCCGTGGTGCTGGCTGCCACGGCCATCGTCGGGTGTGTCCTCGGATTCTTGGCGTTCGTGGTGGTGCACCAACGTTCGAACGTGGCAGCACACGACGACAGCATGGCGACCAACGATTATTACATTGCCCTCGTCCATACCTAGCTAGCACCAACAAACCAACCAACCCCCACGAGCAGCAGCCATATGCAGCACCCTCGACATAATGGCGAAGTTCCGACGTGGAGGGAGATGTTTGTACATGTATAAATGTATTTCAAGCTAAAGGACAAGAGTGAAACCATTTACAGTACTTGACAACACCGGGGGTCTCTTATACATGTATAAAGATATATAAAGGTACGACTAGCCAATGCAAAGTTGAAACCGATGAGTGTTGGAGAGATAAATACACTCACAACCACACACTGGACACTGTACTTGAAGTGTACTACCAAGGTAGTTCATTTACATCAACTCTTCGTAGTAGTACTAGTAGTATTATGCATCGTTGTAGCCCAAAATGGTTGCAATGGTGGGACCATGTCAACAACCGTGGCGGCAATCACCATCGGTGAACATGCACCTCTCTTGACGGGGCTACTTCAATCTACTACCTAGTAGTACTACCGGTAGTCGCCCTGACTCTCAGACAGCACACCAGGGCAATCTCAGAGCGTACGTAAGTTACTGTATTCCTTCCACCACCTAAAAGAAAGTGTGTTTCCCTACTAACTTAATTACTAGTACATAGTAGTACTACACCTGCGCTACTTGACGCAAGATTGATTCGTTGAGAGACATAAATTGATATAGGTATAGATTGTGGCTCGGGTCATGGCTGAAAACTCACGCTTTTCTTGTACTTCTTGGTCACTTGGTTGTAAATGGCATCAGCCACAGTCGTCGTGGTCTGTGGTGCGCTGGCCACATTGGCCGGGGAGGTGGCGTGGACCCTACGCGGCCATGAGTTGATGGCGAAGGTACATGGGTGTTACTACGTACACGCCGAGGAAGGCATGACTCATGCGGTGTGTCTTCTTACTCACATCCATGGCTCGCTCCAAGTTGTCCTGCATCCGCGCCATGGACGCGTGCAGGTCCACTAGTTGTCGGCTGAGGCCATCGTACAGTGCCGCTTTCTCCATGAATGGAATGCGTTGTTGCTTTCGAAACCATACATCGCACATCGTACAATAATGTCATGTACAACGTACGTACACTGTACAACCAAACCCCAAATTTACTCATGCATTACTGTATGCTTCACCGTCCTGGATTAACTACTGTACTAACGTTATAGTATACCTCAAGTACTACGTAGTAGTAGTTACTAGTTACTACTATTACCTAGTAGTACTGTAGTAGTATGCATACGTGTACGTGCCATACAGTACTGTAGTACTAAAATTTTACACAAACAAGGAATCAAATAACTACGAAGTATGCCACAAGGAGAAGAACTGCACTTGAAACTCAAACATCAACGGGTTATCATCGACGTGTTGCATATCGTCTGGGTTGCTTTGGTAGTTGCTGGCATCACACGAGAGCGTGTTGGAGGCGTGCACGGGGCTGAGCACACAATTTGTGGTATTGTCCTTTTCCCCAAAATTTGGACTTTCGCGCTAATTTGACAACTATATCGATCGATTGTTTGCACTGACTTTTGTATGTAAGAATCGTTCGAGGTCACACGTTGATGTTGACTTGGTCAACGAGGCGATTTGAGTGGTTTGATTGGTCGATCGAATGTCTGCCGAATTGGTGCACCTCATTCGATTAAGCACCCCACTTTAATTTCAAATCGAATTGACAATACTTGCCATTGCGTTTGAGCACGAGAAATTGAGGCATTTGCCTGTGCGGTAGCGATACTTTTCACCCGCTGGAACCGCACATAATTCGACCATACGCCATCGTTTGTAGCGTGGGGGGGGGTCCATGACATGCACGGGGAGCAATGGTTTTTTATGGGGAGGTTCGAGGGGAAAGACAAGGGCCAGTCGATTGTCAGGACTATAGATAGTGCCCCACAAAACTCACCAAAATCAGGGGCCCAAATACTTGGTCCAATGTCAAACGTCCACAAAACGGAATCATAATATCGCCTATGTTCGCATGCGACCATACAGAGGACAACTGACAACTATCATCCCCACCTTGTTGTGAATTATAGGAACAGCAATAAGGGCATCCCCAATGGTCCCAATGGTGCGACTGAATTTTGACGTTTACCTACGGTGAGGATTCGTCAACCCCGAAGAAAACACTGGAATTGTATTTTACTTTTTTGCATCCCAACGGTGAAAACGTCAAATAATCCCCATAACAGGCCCGTCCGGTTATGGTGACTCGGCTGATGGAAGCATGGAACAACGACGACAACGATATAGACAACAAATTGGGCCCTACGCCCAAGTGCAGTCCAAACGTATAATAGTGATATTGACTAGAACTCATGTTGATGAGGACGAAACTGTGAATTTCAAGCTACATGGAGGGTCAATTTGCCCACTTGTTGACCTCGAAAGGTACAAAAAATGCTCACGAGCAGTGTCACTCAACCCAGGCAGTAGGGTACAGTAGTCAAAGGAGGCAACTTCGATCTCAATTGCGCTGCATTTGCTCGAACCAACCGTACTTCTGAATCTAACTACTATTTGAAGTTTTTTCACCAATCAATTGCAAGCATGGATATCTCTGAACTGTAGTGAATAATTGGTTCTTGTATGTTGCCGTTCAGTGTTCACAAAACGATTAAAATGTCCGATTTGCCGCCTCGCGGTGAAAATATACCGTTCGTTGAGGTTGCCAAAACTGCCCCAAAAACGGTAAAATAGCGTTTACCACCGCACCATTGGGGATGCCCTAAGTACAGTTCAAAGTTCCCCGACGTTGAAGGTGTCACAATATATTCCATACCTTCCACGTATTTTGACGACAATGAATGAAATGCACAGCAGCCGCTGTACATACAACCAAATCGAGCAGTGCTTCTTGGATACATACCCAACGTACTACCTGTACATATTTAACATATTGCAATACCGATGATCTAAATCATGTCCCCGCTGTGAAGAGCAATCTAGAATGTCGAGACATCAAAAGACAAGCAAAGCTTGCTGGATGCACTTGTGTCCATTGAATCATGCAGATTTAACAAAGGTCAAGTGTACATAGCGCCAACCACTAGTACGAAAGCGCTGAGAAATGCCATCACTACTAAAGAGCCCACAAATGCTATTTGCTGGTACTTCCTACTCGAGGCTGAAGGGCCCACTAATGATACCTCGAAGTATTTCCTGGTACTTCCTATTCGAGGTGGAAATCGTGAAAGTAGATTGCAGTGGGAAAAACTCGACGTTATTGTGCTTTCAAGTGAAATTTTGCGTTGCAGCATGGTTTTTAAATCGATTTGATTGGCTACCTCAGATGAGCTCAAAATCATTAGCCAAGCAAAACCTTCTCAATGAAATTCAACCAATCAGATCGATTGTGGATCGGTTTGGTCGGCGCGGTTCGATTGCACCCCCTCCCCAAATTTGTATCAAATCGACAATAATATATTTCGAATATGAAAACTGATAAGTTTGAATTTAAAACGAGTATAAAATGTTTGTAAACAGGCAGATTTCATTTTGCGAGCAAATGTTTAGGGTGCGTTTGGTAACATTTCATGAATAATATTCCATTTTCTAGCAAAATGGGATAAACCAAAAATGTAACTTTCAAAATGGAGGTAAAAGGTCCATTTTGCAATACTACTGTAGTGTGGCGTTTTGGACCCATCTGGAATTATTGGATTTGGATTAAAACTCTTGAAGAAAGACAAATTTCAATTCTTACCAGGTTTATTGAATTTGGTCCCATAATGGCGTTTTGGGCCAGAATATTGTATTTTTTCAGGTTACCAGACAGGCCCTAAGGTACGGTACAAAAGTAACTTAAACAGCAAAACTAGGTTTCGTCGGTATTCAACCTAACAGTTAAGGAAACTAATGTAAAATTACTTCAACCTTATAATTTTTTGGCTCAAAGAAGAGAACGCAATGTGTAGAGTTCTTTCATTGCAGATTACAAAATGGCAATTAACGTTGTACGAACGTTAACAAATATAGCTGCAACTTTTTCACTTGCCAAATTTCATAAAGCACTATATTATGGAGTTTTTCCCACTTCAGCTCAACTTTCACGATTTCCCGCAACCCCAGAACTTCGAAGTAAACTACTACGTAGTACTACGTAGTAGTAGTTTACTTAGTAACGTAGAGTTCCAATTTAAGGGTATTTACAGTTCCTGTATTTTGATTTTCGTCAATCCCAGCGGTAAAACTGTAAAAAAGCCGAATAATGTTTTTATCCGGAAATGAACGCCTGGCGAGCACGTTTGTGCATGATGGTGTGGGAGGACGACGATGATGACATGGATCAAGCTTAGGAAATTCTTGGCTTTCATCAGTCTTCTGCACCCTAAAGGCTCTACTGCCAACCGCCAGCCAAACTTACCACGAGATAGCGAGGCTGCGCATGCTCGGATTTACCTACTACTTTGGCCCCAATCCAATCTACGGCGAAGCCAAGTTTCGCCATCAATTTCGAATGGCCAGACCGCTGTTTCAACGAATCATGGACGGTGTGGTGATGCGTGATGAGTACTACCCTTGGACGCATCTTGAGAGATGTTGATCCATGACCGGACAAGCTGGCAGTCTTCGTCGGTCGTGAAGTTGGAGCC